AGATAGATAGATAGATAGATAGATAGATAGATAGATAGATAGATAGATAGATAGATAGATAGATAGATAATGAGGTGATGGGTGTGAAGATGTAGCAATCAGGGGACCTTATAACAAGGGTTTGTAAAGGTGTGAACTAGGAAAGTCTATGGAAAAACAATATGGATATTCCTTGAAAATGTAAACATGAAACTGCCATGTGGCCCATCAGTTCCAAAGGAAATGAAGTCAGTTATTGACACTTCTGTACTCACACACCTATTACAGCCTCATTCATAATAGCCAAAACATCACATCATTCCAAACATCCATCGACAGACAAATGCATAAATAAATGTGCTGTGCTCAATGGGATACAGTAAACTATAAACACTTAGGAAGTCATCGTGGATGAGCCTGCAGGACACCGTTATGTGGCACAAACTAGACACAGAAAGAATTATCGCATCATCTCACTCATATGTGGAATCTAAAAGTTTACCTCACCAAAACAGAGAATAGAATGGTGATGACTCGGGACTAAGGTGGTTATGGAGAGAGCTCAAGGAGCTATTGTTCAAAAGATTCAAAGTTTCTGCTAACTAGGTACATCCAATAAACCTACAACAGTGGACAACATGACTACCAAGACACTGGGATCTTGAAAAATGCTGAGGGGATGCTAAATGCTCACACTCCAAAGTCATGACAGTGTTTGATAAGAAACATGTTAGCTAGAGTCAGAGATCCTAATTATAAATACATGTTAGAGGATCCTGCCGAACATGATAAATGCATATAATTTTATCTGTTAAAAATAGTTTTGATTCTATGAGTAAATGCAACAAGACATAGAACACACACAAAAAGTATCACCACGTTTCAATATGGTTTACAGATTTGCACTTGAGTTTTTGTATGTGAAAAATGACGAACCAAGCGTGGCAGTTGCCCTCATGACTTAAAGTGTGCTTACCACTGTATAAAAGGTTATGTATCATTTAGTATTGTGGCTAGCATACCTGAAAAATAAAAATGCTCTGATGGAATTTATCTACAGTTCATTCTTGCCAGAGCTAGTTTGGCCTTGACCACTTCTCACTGGAGGACACTCCAATTTGCCATGATTGATACAGAGTTTGTTGGCCAACAATCAGAGAGGCCTAAATAAGTAAGGCAGCCAAAACTGAACACATGGAGACTCCCATGTGCTCCAGATGCTCTGTGTACAGATGATGGATTGAGACAGAATGGTCCAGCAGAAGTACAGATGGAGGGGCCAAGACACTGCCAAAACCAGAGCTGTAAATCTGCCATCGTGAGCAAAATGGCATCCATTGTGGACTGCAAGCTTGGCAGAGAGCAACGCTATCCTTTACCTTCACAGCCCTGCATCCTGAAGCAGAATCATCCCCTACAAGAACAGAAGACCCCGTGAGTGGAGAAATAGTAAAGGCATGTGTAGTTAGGAAGATCTGCCCATAAAGCCCACATACACACTGTAATAAGGTGCTGGATTGCTCCATCAGAGTTTTACAAAAAGTCAGGCATATGACTATAAAATGACTCCTGATCCCTTCTTCTCTCCATCTCCTTCTTTTAGTATTTAGGCACTCAGCATATTCCAGGTATTGCCAGTATCTGGATGTACATATTGAATCTATGTTATCTTTTTTATTAATTTTTTGAGCATACAAAATAATGAGCTTCATTATAAATATATAAATTAAAATATGCTTTTGGTCCACTTTTTCTCTTTTATGCTCCATACCTCCTTTGTGATTTGAATGTTGGCTGGCAAGATTATCTTTTTATTAATTTTCACATATATATGTGTAGATTTATAAGAATTAGCAGAGTCTCCCAGCTACAAGATACATTTTATACTAAGGATGAAGATTGACATGCAAATCTGGGTTTTCTAGGGTTGGGTAATCCCTTCTTCCATCTTAGGTTTTCCATTTCTTAGTACTTTCAGAGTTGACTATGCTCATCTGCCTCTCCAGTGACTTACACAATTATCATTGGCACTATTGTCACACTCTGCGATAATAGTATAATACAATAATGATGACTACAGTGGGAATGCTATCTATCTATTTATCAAGCAACAACTTCACTTATTTCTAGGGTGCATATAAAGATTCAGACAGTGTCCTAAACAATTTGTATACATATACACACCTATACACATATATACATATATAGTGTATATTTGTGCATAAATATATATTAGCTTAACTATATGAATTGGTGACTTAACATATGTTTATAATTCAGCAAATAATACATATACATATATATAAACGACTATTTGGAGGGAGAAAGGGGGAAGTTATATAATTATACTATAATCTCAAAAAAAATAGAGAAAAATTTTAAACGTCAGATAGTGTGCCCAGGTATCAGGACCACGTTTCTTTTTTTTTTTTTTTTTAATTTTATTTTTTTCTTATCAGTTACATTGTATTAACTCTGTATCCCAGCCGTGTCCCGATCCCTCATTCCCTCCCAGTCCCTCCCTCCCTCCCTCATCTCCACCATGCCCCTTGCCAAGTCCACTAATAAGGGGGAACCTCCTCCCCATTCATCTGATCCTGTTTTATCAGGTATCTTCAGGACTGGCTGCAAAGCTCTCCTCTGTGGCCTAACAGGACTGTTCCTCCCTTGGGGGCTGGGGAGGCCAAAGAGCCAGTCATTGAGTTCCTGTTAGAAATAGTCTTTGTTCCCCTCACTATGGGAAACGAATTGGTTACTGAGCTACCACAGGCTACATCTGAGCAGAGGTTCTAGGTTACATTCATTCGTGGTCCTTGGTTGCATGTCAGTCTCAGAAAAGACTCAGGACCACGTTTCAAAGTAGGAAAAACTGGCTTCAGAGTTCACCTCTTAACTGCTACACTTTTACAAACATTTGAATTTGTAACTAGTACTGAAACACCAATAGCCAAATAGATTAAGTACAGGATTCTTTAGCTACCGAAAGATTCCTGTCATGTTACACTGTGAGATTTAGGGGGATAGTGAAAACAGAATCATGTGCCATATTCTAAAACTGCTTCAGACACAATCTGGCTGTGCATGGCCAAGTCTCTAAAACAGTGACCCCCACCACTTAATAGAAGAAACAAACACATAAATGATCTTGGTTCTGAAATTTTAGATTTTTAATGCCTAGTATGGTCTTTGACGTTCTATATTGACAAGTATTTAATGTACGGGGAGGGAGAGGCTGGAGTTTGCTTAGTGTTTCCGAGTACTTGTTGCTCTGGCAGAGCTCATGGATTTTATTACCAGTGCACACATGCTGTCTTATAATCATGTCAAACTCCAGTTCCAAGGGAGTCTGGTGCCCTCTTCTGGCCTCCACAGGGACTGGGCAAGCATGTGGTACACATATATATGCACGCAAAACATTCATACACATAAATACGTACAAATTTAAGAATATAAAACATGGGAATTCTTAAAATATTGATGAAACTTTTTCAATATTACAAGTTATATGGAGGCAAAGAAAAGCACTTTTAAATAATGATCTGATGATTATTTGGAAATAGAATTAAGTATATGTTTGAATCTAGTTGACCCAAATTCAGTGCCCCCCTCCAAGTGCCACTTGTGTGCTTTAGAGAACCTTTGTGGGTCTCCGGGAAAGAAAGTGTATTTAAACCTCGTATACAGATCTTCTGAGCATATCAACATACTGGAGTGCCACACACTTCGTATTTAATGGCTGGTGGTGATCATTAACTTTTACTCCTTGTTGCTAACTTCCGTCTTCGGTTGTGGCAGTACCAGTGATTATTAAAACTTGTCCATGCTGATTTCTTATTTTAAACACCAGTCTACTGTGCTCGGTGCTATGGGGATAATTTTTAAGTGTCAGGTAGATGCTGATATCAAAGAGTTTACAACCCATGCAAGGGTGTAATGCTGTAAAGAGATATTAGTTCAAAAAGCAAGAGATGGGTGTAATAATGAAGTAACAGCCAAACCACTGTTTGGGAGAAACACATCCCCAAGATGATCAAATAAGTGCTTATAATGCAAATAATGATGTAATGTGAGATATAAAAGTTTGCTTTCTTGAACCATTAGCTATCCAAATCCTTCCTCATCATTGCAACTTGTAAAGTTTTAATCCTGACACAAGCTTTATAAACTCCACTACACACTACACTATTATTTCAATTTAAGTTTTATATGGTCTTAGAGTTTGTAATATTTTGCCCTGAGTTGTATCTTAAATGATCAAATATTGGTTTCTCCAATTCTTTCAAAGAATTTAATTACAAGGTACTAATTCACCATCTTCCCAACAACATGCTATCTTTTAAAAGGACTGTAGTTCCTTAGAAGTTATTTTATGTGCCTCTGCTCTATCTCAAATCAAACAGGAGTTTGAAATTTCTTCAATATTCCTTCCCCAGATTTTTATTGGTGAAATATCCATGTATTTCATAAAGTCAACAAGGGAATCCCTGATTGCTGAGGAGAAAACAATCCTAACAGGAGAATGCTGCTACCTGAACCCCTTACTCCGAAGGATCATTAGATTCATAGGTAAGTATAAGAGCCTGGTGAGCCGCACCCCCATGGATAGTGAGGCTTACTAAACTTGGTGGATGTGCTTGAGCCAATAAACCAAGATTCAGCAGTACTAGCATTAAAAGCAAGGGCTGCTTGGAAATTTTCCACTAAGGGTAAAGATAGTCCTATTCCAGTGCCGTGTCAAATCTTTGATCCTTGAGGAAAGATGTGGTTTGTAAAGTGCTACACAGAGTCAAATATTTGATCCTTGAAGTACTATGGTGCTTATTAAATTGTTGTGCAGAATGATTTCAACCAATTCTCCCCCACTGGTTATTTCTCTGACATTATTCCTAGATGTGTATCTTAACATTGATTGGGTATCGACATAAACTAAAGGGTAAAGAGCAGATAAGGGTTGAGGGACAAATGGGAACATCGCTAAAATGAAATAATCAAATTTCCTAGCAAAGTTTTCCTGGCCTGTAGCTCTATTATTTGGGAAATTTAACAAAGTATGAGACATCTACTCCATCAGATTCTTGAAAACCATGTCTTTTCAAACTTGGAAAAGAAATGTTTACTTTTGTATTCATGACATGGAATAACAAAGCCATCTTCTATGTCCTACCTAAAAATGCCTAGAGAGCTACAGATAATGATTTTAGTATGGAAATGTGTATATTAGTGCAGATAGAAACAAATCTTGCAGAATCCCTACATTATAAGGACTCAACAAATGATCATTAGGTCAGTAGTGTAACAAAACCTTGTAAATGTCTGCTGACAAGATCTTCATTGGATCCCCAATAAAATTTCCAAATTATGAACATAGCTATTACTAAAACAAGCTATGGTGCTTGTTAGAAGATAGGGAACTGGCTATATTATGCTCACATTCATTCATTAAATAATTAATACCTTTTTCCTGTTATAGTAAAGGATGCATGTTATGAGCATATGACCTTCTCAAAGTCTAATCAATAACGTCTCTGATTGGATTAGGAATGAAAAATGTACTAGAACAGGAAGCCTAAGAAATGCTACATCAGTGTTGCAATTTAAAATTTAGCACTTAAATACTCTTAGGAATGAATGCATGTCTGCAGAATTAACATTTTTCTGGTCTTCAGAAGACCGCAGTTGGATCACTTGGGTATAGCCTCATCAAAGTGATGTTACCACTGTCCAAGTTACCATGCCCAAACTCAGACAAGTTCCCACCGGAATGACTACCAAATCATGGGGGAAAAAAGAGAGAGGAAAATATATATCCCACTGACCACTGAACTAGATAGTTCATTACGTTACTCCATTTAATCCATCTGCCATTACATGACGTGTTTTATTGTTTGAAGTTTACAGATGAAGAGTCTAACAGAACACAGAATCAAAATATAATTTGATTCAAGATTGTATGGTCTCTCATAATTAACTGTAGATATCTTTCAAAGTCACTGTTACTGGTTCTTTGCAGAGAGAAGCCATGTCTATCTGTGGTTTACCCTACTTAGGACAAGGTCCAAAGAAATTTTAACTGATGTTTGTCCCTTATGTAGAAGTCTGTAGCTTATATAAGGCTTGCAAAGAGAGGCCAGGCAATCCCAATCTCCGAAGGGGAACCCTCCACACAGCATGCTGTGGCCCGTGAAATTATCACGTGCGACCCAGCATGGAGCCAAGGCATGGTTTCAAGATCAATCGAGGATCATCAAGTTTCCACTGTTAAGTGATGACACATTTTTCCATCTGGATTTTGTATGCGAAGAGGAAATGATAAAAAAAAAAAGTACTTCCACTATGACCACCCATGGTATGGTTGTGGGGAAGTTCTTCCATTGTAGATATGAGAGAGCAAACAGTTGGAGGCAGCCGGAAGAGTCCAAGGCAGGGAGAAAAATGTAGACTGAACACGGTCAGCAGACTGGACATGGCCAGGGCTGTGTTTGAAGGAAGGGAGAATAGCAGGAGTAGAGAACAAGAAAGCAAAGTGAGAACAGCAGGGTCATAAGGAGGGTGAGTAGTTGTGGGGAAGGAGGACACTGGCATGGGACCTTTGAAATATATAACTAAATGTATACTGAGGGAGCTTGGGGGCTGCACTGGAGGGAGATCTGATGTGCAGCCACCTGCATGTGACAACGGAGACCCATACAGTCCTCCTGCCAGAAGTAAGGGAAATGACTCCTTTCGGCAAATGGAGACCAGTTTCACACGTTCCTGAGGAATGCTGGCTTTTATCTAACCACCAGAAATCCTTCTATAGTGCACGTTGAGCTCATATCTGGATATTTGAACTGCCTTTTATAGAGTTTGAGAAATTAGACTTTCCTTGGACCTAACAAGTTTATCATAAGGTAATAGAAATCTGGATGCTAAGATCATATGGTGGAGATATTAAAAAAATTAGCTCAACTTCAACATTATAAAATAGCCAGTGGGTAACGGGTAAAGCTTGAGGAACATGGTCACAGTGTCCTTGTTTTTTTGACCGAAGGATCTGCCCTCAAATAGAAAAACTGGGAGACTCTCACTATTTGGGAACTCATTAGCAATGCAGATGTGTGGAATTCACCCCAAACCTACTCAGGATTAAGCCTGATGACCATTGGCTTAGGCAAATAAAATTCTTATTCCCCTTGAAAGACTCCTCCACGTTACATCATAATTCAGTTGTATCCACCCTCAGTACCACAAAGATACTATATTGCAGACATTTACTGTGTGTGTGTGTGTGTGTGTGTGTGTGTGTGTGTGTGTGTATACACATTCATGTGTGTATCCATACAGCTGTACCCATGTGGAGACTGGAGAACAGTGTAGCAAGTCCTGCTCTAGGACTCTCCACCTTACTCCCTTGTCACTGTGTTGCTCTGAACCTCGAGCTAGGCTGACAGCCTGAAAACCCCCGTGATCCTCCTGTCTCCACCCTCCACAGCACTGAAGTTGCAGGCACATGTGGCCACACCCGGTATTGTACATGGGTGCTGGTGAGTCAACCTCAAGTGCTCATGCTTACATTACAAGCACTCTTACTCACTGAGCCATCACTCTGAACCATTTTCTCGTGAGCCTTGCACAACCTACAGAGCCCTTCATGATCTGAGACCCTGTCCTGTCTGCAATCTCCTGTCTCAGGCTAACCCGCTTTACTGGCCCTCAGAAAGACTATAGTATTCCCGTATCAGTTCTTGTTCATGTTGTGCTCCTACCGTCTCGAGTGCCCTTTTACCATAGCATCTGGCACATCCTTTTGGATCCGTTTAAACATTACCTGTTTATATCTAAACAAGTAGCCACCTTGTCTTCCAGACCCCACTGGACCTTGTGCTTTCTTCTTTTATAGGCATATTGGTACTATTGCTTAAGTCTGTTACTCCTCATAATTTCTGATCCTTCCAGAGTGGGGAATTTATGTGAACAGTGTATTGCAAGCAAATGCCTCAGACATAGACTTTGAATAAAGTAGAACTTCTCTCTTTATTTTCGTGTTTGTTTGTTTCTTTGTCCGATAAATGAAGAGCAAAGAGAAATCTTAATAAATATTTTCCTAAAACCATCTTTGCAAAAGCTGATTCTCACATTTTCATTTGTCTTTTTTTTAAAGACCCTGATTGCCACTCCAGCTTGGTTCTAGGACTTTAGTGTACACAAATAAGGCGATTTGAAAGAGAGAGCCTGAGAGGTCCATTATGACTCTTCATAAAGCAGTGTCAGAAACAGGAGAGTAAAGAGGCATATTTTCCAGAAAAGATTAATATAGGAGAATATAGATTATTTTGTTTATAAAAAGGTGGTAAATGTATTCATTGAAATAGAAACCTTTTAAATGGAAATATTTCCTTTGACAAAAATTAAAGTAAAATAAGGTAGTTACCAAACTCTATTAGAAAGATTACTGTAAAGAGCTTAATAGTCTTTTTTTTCTAAGCCAGTAGTCAACAAGATACATACTCTGCAATTGGCATTGGAAAATGATAACTGCTTTAAATGACTGTTCTAATTAAGCATAAATGATTTCCCCTTGCAGTTTATGTAAATTGTTTTCAAAACCATTATAAATAGTATTTCCTAGTAAATACAATCAGCTTTGTGTTACAGAAAAAGCCAATGGATCAGCAAATTATTTTAGGGAAATTTACTTTTATACTAAGAGGCTCAGGAACAACAGCATTCTGATAGCAATATATGGATATGTCCTTTTGGTAATTCTAATTTATAGTGTATGTCCAAAGATTTAGAAATAAATATCCACTTAACACTTCTTGTTTAAGATTTATTCATTAAGTATACAGTATTCTGCCTGCATGTACACCTGCACGCCAGAAGAGGGCAACAGATCTCATTCTAGATGGTTGTGGGCCACCATGTGGTTCCTGGGAATTGAACTCAGGATCTTTGGAAAAGCAGCCAATGCTCTTAACCTCTGAGCCATCTCTCCAGCCCTTAAATGTCCTTTTAAATCCCACATTTCTTTTCATGTCAAGTCATGTATTCTAAGAAAGTAGAGATGTAGATTAATTTTATGAACTAAATTAATTTTCCATAATATAAATTAAAATACCAAGGTAATAATAGTGGGGCTGGAAAAATGGCTCAGCAACTAACAGTATATACTGTTCTTGCAGAGGATGAAAGTTCGGTTCCCAGCATGTCAATCAGGTGGCTCACAGCAGCCTCTAAATCCAGTTCTAAGGGCACCTAACACCTCTGACTTCCACAAGCATCTGCACACACATTCATACAACCACACACATACACATAATTAAAAATAAATCTTTTTAAAAATACAATTATGCTATGATCTCCATTATAATCTCAAAAATACTGTTAAAGGTGTCTAATGAAGGGAAACTATTCGTGATAAAATGTTATTCAAAATATTAAAATATTCTCTATTTCTAAATATATAACTGAATCTACACCACACCTGGAATTCTAGCACTGAGAAGTGCAGATGAGGATGAGGTAGGAATATTAAGAATTCAAGTCCAGCCTTGGCTACATAGTAAGACCCTGTCTCAAGTTTTAAA